CAGGAACTTCCCGACCATTTAAACCACCGGGGCTCTGTGCACCATCTCATCTGAATTTAGTTTAGACCATTTTAAGCAATTTCTACTGAATCAGGTGACATAAGCATAAACATTTAAGGAGCAGATATGAAAAAAAACCCCAAAGAACACAAGCAATTTCTATGTTAACATTATTAAAATAATTCACACTCATATCTTGCCAATTCCTGTACTGCTTTTCTTCCCACCCCCAGCCCCACAGCTGCAGTTCCATCTGCCTACCCGAGCTCAAGATCACTAGTTCAGCCAGTACTTGCAAGCATCATATTTTGCTTTTTGGTCACATTCCCAAAAGCCAAATGCAAATGAACCTTACAAATAATTTTTAAGTTGGAGCAATTAACTCGGTGAGCATTTCCTGAAAGTGTCAAATGTTACAGCACTCTCAATTTACAGTACATGCCACTTCCCAGACGAGCCTGAGCTGCACATCTGCTTTCTAAATGAAGGAGCTTATCGCAGTTTAATTTAATAAATACCAAGGAATTTGCAGCATAGTGTATTTCAGACAAGTTTTCTGATATCCTCAATAGAGCAGAAATGTCACTGTAACCAATAAAATATGTTTTGATTTTTTTTTTCTCATAGAAAGTGACCCAATTCATACTTGATCTGTATTGCAAAGGCATGTCCACGTAGCCAGGATTACAAGACACATCCCTATCAAAAACATGCAGAGAAGCAAAACCCTTTCTGCTGTTACTGCAAGTTACCAAAAAAACTGCTTTCAAGCAGCTGTCGGAGAAGTACAAGGAGGCAGCACCACTAACTGGACAGACAAATCTCTCCCTTACCAGCCCAGCTAAAATACTTATGCCAACAGACACCGTGTGAGTCAGGCATACTTTAATAGATACAGCAGAACTGGATTTTGCAAAAGGATTTATTAATGTAACACCCTTCATTTGACCTTCACACAGATGTAACTCCTTTAGTGTTTCAGAAGGATTGTTTTTTAGGATGCTTTCTTTGCCATGGGTATGTCTATCCATAACAGTGTACTAAAGAATTTATTTTTAAAAATTATTGTGAATATCACATGCAGTAACCAGAGTATGATGATGGAATTACTTTCTTTTTCAAAAGACAAATGGGACCACAGCACCAGGATGGGTAAATTCATGTATTTGCGACTGAAGAGGGGGAGATGAGTACAAATCCTCACAAAAATAAGACCCTGGCATAGGGAGCCTAGTTCATTCTTGATCTGCTGAAGCTCAGCCATCATTCCACAGGGCTGGGAGGTGGCTCCAGAGATGAAACCATACTGCTTGGTTTCCTACTGGTGGGACTTGCTGAGGAGCAATTTTTTGGATTGTTGCACTTTGCAAGCTGTGTTCCAGTGCAGGCTCTGCACCTGGTTGTGGAAAAGCTTTATAGAAAACAAACATCATGAACTCCTGAAGGCATGGACTTCTAGTTTGGGGGACTGGGGAAGAGGGAACACAAAGTGAAGAACTAGACAGCATGAGGCAGCAAAGGAAAGACAGGAGGGCAGGAAGATGGAAATAATTTTCGTGGCAAAGACAACAGTTTTGGTAATGAGAGTGTGTAGTGTCTTGGCTGTCAGGAGCAAGAAAATTCACCTATAACTAATGTTTCAGGTGGTCAGATCCAGCAGCAGTGTCAGCCTGTGCACACAGCCTACCTTTTCAGGCTGTTTTCTGTTCGTAAGGGCAAAACTTAGTAGGCATTTTAAAGCAAGACTGATGGGCAGGATAATGACGGAAAATTCTTCCATTTGAAAATCAATGAATACACAAATTATATAATATGTAAAAACCTGAAAATGTTACAAAAAACCATGATGCAGACTCAACTAATGTGAATTTATTTATACAAAAATGATACATATCCACAGGAATATTTACAACAACTTTAAACTGTTTTCATTTACAAAATAAAAATTCTTTCATTTAGACAGTACAATTTAGGACTGCTTCAAATAAAAGCCTATTTGGATGGTAAATACAGGGGACAGCAGTTACGGCAAACAAACGCATTGAATGTGTATTTCCAAACATCTCTTTACCTTATGGTGTAAAATACATAATCAAGTAATCAAGTTTCCACACACAAGAAATATTTTAGTAAAATGTGTTCCATAGCTGCTCAGCTACCCATTTCTTTTAAGTCCTTTGGGCACAAAAAATAGTTCTAAGTTAAACAGAATTCAGGATCCTAGAACATGTCATTTATCCAAGAATAAAGGTGCTAGAACTAATATTCAATGCTAATGTTTGTCTCACACTCTACTATCCAATCTTAAATTAATTAGTAACAATAGATTCTTATAAGGAGAGGTAGCCAGGTGTTTAAAAACTTCTGGTCTTGTTTTAGTGTTGAGTCAAATCAAGAAGTGAATACTTTACTTCAGATGGCAGTGAATCAAAATGGAAGGTGAGCTGGAGAATGGTTCAGATGGTTGAAAAGCAATCATCTGAAAATGTTATGAAAATGTCTGTGTTGGGGGTTCTTTGTATGACAAAGCACTAGTGCTGCAGAAAGATGAAAAGATAAACATGTTTACAAAGACAATTCATTTCACACAGAATTAGACTGCAGTGTGTGTATTATTGTTTTTAAGGCTCTGTTCCAATCTATTTCTGTCACAGATTTTTTGATTGATCAACAGGTTTTGGAGGAAGTCCTCTGATTTTTACAGAACACTTTAAACCATTTTCTCACTCTGCACCAAATCCTTGAGAGGTAGTTTGACACCACACACGAGGCAGAACTTGGGCACCTTATTCAGTATGTGTTTTGACTTTTATTGCTCTGTTTTGCAGCAGGGAGATCAGTATCAAACCATAAACCGAAATTAAATTAGCTTGCTCCTAGTCAAATTTCTGATTCATTTGCTAGTTCATGGCTTTCCAGCTTAGTTGGTGTGCAGTCTCTATAAAAATAGTAAGAAGCTTTTCACTTTGATAATATCAGCTGGAAGAGCCACATTGCATCTCTGTAACATTGGTATCAATTTTGTTTTGTATACAGTAAAAGCCATGTCATAAATCACCCTGAAGAGACATGCTAATAGCTTATGTGGCTTCAGTCAGCAGCTGGTTTTGAAAATTAAGTAAAAGCCCTTTATATATAAAAAGAGAAAAATATTTATTTATCATGTTTGTATTAAAATAAAAGAGAATAAAGGCTTTGTTCAGGCTCCCACTGAATTTCAAACACTTATGTGGTCAAATCTCTAGCATTCATTTGGGAAGCCAGATCTACAGCCTTAAATCCCTGATTCAGAACTGCTGAAGTCAATGAACTTACTTGTGTACTTCGTATTAACGAGGCTTCCAAGCCCACAACTAACTTAACAGAAGCTCTGGAAAATCAAGCTTCTTCAGAGCTCTGTTAGTCTGATAATCCTGAGGTATTTGAGGGAATAAGAAAATTTTGGTTTGCATTTTCATTCTTGGCCTTTCTGTGATGACTACTAACTATTCTACCATCTATTCTCTTCACTTTGTGAGGCCATAGAATAGCTATTAACAAGGATTCAAACTATTAATTAAAAGTGAATTGCTCTTCTGTTACCACAACTAGCTTGATTCAAAGGACTACTGAGAAATATTTCATACAGTAAAATTAACTGTCTACATATGCATCACATTTGACATAAAAATGGCTTCATGTTTTTTTCATAGTTCTAGTTCCATTTATGCTATTACAGTGTTAAAAAATTTTCCAAAGTTAAATAGAACAACTGCACCAGAATCATCAGTAAGTATTTCCTAATGAGGTATACTGACAATTTTCTTAAAGAAAAAAACCAAACGAACCAAACACCTAAAACTGAACTGCGTTTTAAAGTGTTGAACAGAACAAATCGTAGTGTAAACAAAAGGTATTTCAAAGGCCGGTATACATTTCAATGCCATCTGCACTAAAAAAGGTGGGGTTTCTTGGTATGGCAATTCCAGTTTAAACATAATATTTAAATATACAATAGTTTAAAATTTTGGGAGAGGGGGGTGCATATATTCGTTTAATGTTCTTTGAACAATAATTTATACAGTGTTTCATACTGTGTACAGAACTCATTTGTCACAAAGGTTTGAAACAAACAAGATATTTTGTCTTTTCCCTGTATATCAGAAATGGTTTTTTATTCTCCTTTAAATTACTACTGGAAACAAAAGAAAATATATCCTGCAGTTGTTTGAAGATAACTCATTTTAGTCTCTTTGGCATTTGTAGTAATGCAAAAGCTGTAGTGCCTTATCTAATTACAAAGTCTGTTTTAAAATATTTTTCCCTTTTCTCTTTTTTTTTTTTTAAATAATAGAACTGTACTTTGTGATTGCTTCTGTGATACAGAATTTATTGTACTGTTTTAATGTACTGGTATGCAAGATTTCAACTGCCATTCAAGGAAAGGAGCAGCAATATTCTACAACTTCTCATAAAGGAGTTTTACGTAGCCAACAAAGATCCAAAACCTTTGAAATTCCTATTTTGATCTGTACTTGCTAAATTGCAAAATGAGCATCAGCAACTCAAGACCTACACACAAATCATGACGAACTACACAATTGCAACAGATTTGTTTTGTGTTTTGTTTTTTTTTAAAAGCACAAACTTTAGGAATATGTGACCAACCACCTGCCATTCTGAAGACATGGGCACTTTGGACCTCATTGCAGACCTCACAAATAATTCTGACCATTAAAGTAAACATTGGAATTTAATAAATAACACATTTTGTATCAACACAGAAATGCACACAAATCTTTAAAAAACATTACCTTACACTAACAATGCAACAACTAATCTTGACAAATATACAATTTTGTGTAGGTTGACACGGCAGGATTCTGTTTCTTCCAACAGCTGCTGTACTCTGTTTTACAACCATCCTTGGACGTTTTCCTTTAAACTCACAGACACGATGGTGACACTGCTATAATATGGTGCCTTCTTGAAAAGCTTCTATCCACCTATTAGAAAATTAAACACTGTTAGGAATTTACTGCTGGTAAAACTATAAATCACGCTGCTGTAATTTAAGCTACAGACTCACACAAGAAGTAACACCGTACTTCCACTGCCAGTTGGTCTGTTAGCGGAAATGCCAGAAATCTATCCAATGAGTCCAAACATACAAAGCTTGCTAGAGACGTATTTAGGTATCAGTAGAAGGCCAGATGATAGAAACTTTTTTCCGTACCTCTTCCATACTGAGGTTACATACATAAAGACCAAGTGAAGCTGGAGAATCGAACGCTCAAAAACTAGGAAATGCCAAGGTTCTGCCAACTTTAGTAACATGATTGCATTTCTTTTAATAAAAAAACCAAACCAACACTCCCTTCTGTTACTTCACTGCAAACACTGTCTGGGATGAATGAGGACGCTACAAGAACTGGAGGCAGCCATCTGTGTAACCCATGCACTCTGCTTTTGCAGCTGGTACAAGGGTGTTGGTGAAGGAGGAGTGGGGCTGAGGGAGGAAGCCGTAGGACACGTGGGCTGGGCTGAAGGAATGGTGCCTCGGCATGATGACAGAACTTCCCCGTATTCACACACACAAAATGGGCTTCTACTGTATCACATATTAACAGACACCCTGCACACTGTATCCATGAAAATACAAGTATATGTAAAGGGGGAGGAAGTCCCAAACAGCTGATCCAAGGTGTCTCAAACTGGAAATTCAAAGTTAATATTTAGATACTTTTATCCCCTATAGCTGTGGTTTCTATTCCTACTGGATTATGGGGGTGATAAACATCCTCATCTTCTCAAGGGTGCTGCCAGAATTCATGTTTCTGATGCTACACTGACAATTACAGTAAAAAATGGAATAAAATTCTCTCTTCCGAGTGAAGGCTGAGCTGCGTGCGTATAAAGTGAAGGGACCTACCTACTGATTAATTTTTTTTCTGAGTGAAAATTTGCAACAACTGAATGAGACAATGACTGTGAAAATATCTTTATTGTGTAAATTCAACCCTGGCTTAATGTTCACAGCGTATCTAAATGTTAGTCACAGATGTTGGCTCTTCCTCGCCCTAAGTGTTAACTGTGTGCATGTTCTTTGAACTTAAGCTTTTGGTATGAATGTGCCAAAAGTTCATACAGTGCTTGTGCCTGTCTGCATACACAACACAAACTTCTATCCCTTACTTTTTAGAGCTCACTCTGTTTTCCACTGCCATATATTCATTATAAAGAACTAAAATGGAATACAAATACAACAACAGCTTAAGCATTGAACATAGTACTGGACTGACAAATTTCAAAGCTCATCAAAAAAGTAAAAATCTGTTAAAATTTACTACTGTACTTACACAAATACAGCAGATATTTTTTTCTCCCTAACAGGAAAAAAAGAGTGTCTGCTGATGCAAACAGGCCAACAGCATGTTCTTTGTTTTTTCTTTCAATGCTATCAAAGCAGCATTTATTCTGGAGGTTCAACATAAATCTCCTGAGGCTATTACAAACTTGGAGGAAGCTTGCAATTTAAGGTACTTAATGTTATTCCTAGTCTCAGTAAAACAGAGTATGTCCAATTTCAAGTTTTTGTACTGATGACAAAAGCCATTGTCTGAATAGGAAAACGAAGCTATTGAATGCCTTGGATTTTTTTAGTTTTTTTTTCTATAGTACAAATGAGGACACAGTGGAAACAAGAGAATACTACCCTAATTAACAAGGAAACATTTGTGTGCATCTGCAAGACAAAATACCCCCCAAAATCAAATAATGACTTCCAGATTTTGTGTGTAGAGAAGTGTCATTAAGCACGTTCTCAGCTGTTCAGAATTTTCAGTGGTCTTGGGTACTTTTTTTTTTTTTAGAACATCCCTATTTGTGCAAAATTATACCTGCAGCCATTTGAATGCTTAAGTATTAATCATGGACTAGTTAGTGCATGAAATCTATTTTATTAATGTAAAATTCACTTGAGAAAACTGCAGTGAAACCAGTCAGATAAGCTGGGCATATAGGCAACATAAATTTATTGCTTCCATGCTCATTTCTAGTTTACTCCATGATTCATATAGCAAATGTTTTCTACTGATTAATGACCAAGCTTCTAGGTTATTTGATATAAAACACACACACACAACACATACATTGATAAATATGACTCCAAACTCAGACACATCAGCAGGACTTGAAATGAAACAGCTTATGTGAGTGTTCTTTAAATTCAAGCTTGTGATCTGAACATACTGAGTGTGCCTATGTGCCCAGGCACATCTGCACACACACTTCAAACTTCTATCCCTTACGTTACAGGGTTTGCTTTATTTTTCAATGCCACATATTCATTAAAAATAATTAAAATTAGCAGCTGAAATTAAAATGGGATACATCAATTAATTTTAAAGCACATTTTCTAGATTTCAGTTTTCACTTGAGCAGACCAGGGATAGATGAATGGGCTAGGAAAAAGAAAGATTTCTTATTTTATCTTACTTTTCCATTATCCTACATTCATTCTTTTGCAGAGGACAGTCTGCTTCTTTATTTTAAGCATTTCAGAAGTCCTAATGAAACCAGGACCGTGTGTTTAAGTAATTTAAAAGTTTTATTTACGTGTTATATAAATACGCATCTTTTGTATATGCACTTAATCTGTGAATATTAACATTCATGACTTCTGAAACATTTTCTAGAAAAAAGTAACAAAAATTAATTCAAATAGTTTCTTACTTTTGAGCTGAGTGGGGATCATCTGCTTTGAATATGTAAAATAAAGTGTTTTTGTGCAGTAAATGGAACACTCTAGACTCTGAGTTTTCATCTTTTACTTCACTGACTGTGAATCCAAGTAAAGGCTGGCTCTCTAATGCTGCCACATCCTATTTTATGGAGAAAAAAGCAAACAAGACAAAATTAGAGCTTGCAAGAAATACTAAGGAATGCATTTAGACTTTATTCATGCATCATACCATTGCAACAGATTATACAACAAACAAGTTGTTACAAGTAGTCATGCACAAAATACCACATTTTATAGTGTCCATGCGTGAATCAGGGAACAGGAAATAACAAAACCTCACAGACTTCCAATATTGCTCTTCCTCTTTTTATTCCCCTGATAACATCTACCTTGTCTTTCACTGTATAGTCTCATCACTCTGCCTGATAAGGACTTATTATGTCAAAAGATCAACTACCCCCTGGCAGCAGACTAAAGGACCATCTAGCCTAATGCTCTCTCCAACAACCTGAGTAGTAAGTTTCCATGTCTTAAAAGTGATATGGGATGCTATTAGCTGCACTGAGTGTGCTAGAAGGAGGAGCTATGGACATAACCTATGTTCTCAAGCACTGGAATAGCACTCCAAATGCTTTTGATGGCTGCATCTATTTTGCTTTCTGTTGCTGAAAACTAACAGGATGGGGAAAAAAATTGCTGAGTTTTCACAAGTGGTTGGCTAGGAAAGAGTAGCAAGAGAAGCTAGACTTTTTTTACCTTCTCTTAATTTAATTTCAAAATCTAGCTAAAAAGGCAACCTTTTCCCTTCCATGTTCACCTCAATTGCTTCCTTTTTTTCATAGTTATCTTTTAATTAATAAATACAATGCACAGCCTTTTTGGAAGGGAAAAAAAAAGTATTTTAATTCTCTGCAAATTCAGAAATAGTGTTTTTGTAACTAGGCAGGATCCTGCAATGCTTCTGGATAGAGAAAATAAAGAATGTACGTAAACACTGACACATCAGGTGGAGACTTTGGTAACTGCCTCTACATTGAAGCAAGAGTATCCTGAGAAAGCATTTCTTGACATTGGAAAACGGTAAACTAAGGCTTAGCAGTCTGTTTTACGATCTTAGGTCTTTCTTTATACCACTAATAAGTGGTCTTTTTACCACTAATCTTTGTATCACTTGGAACAAACACAAGTAGCTTAAGTGAGGTCTCCTGGCTAAGGCCACACTGGACCAGCTATCATAACCTTCCCTTGAGATTCTTCAAACAATGTCTCTTGCAATGGCTCCTCAAGATGAAAAGTAAGGACAGATATTCCTTAGTTTAAAGAAAATAGGAAAGAGTTAATTTTGTGATTGCAAGCTGTAAACTGAAGCTGCTCTGGAAGGCTGATATCTCAGAGGAATCCAAGCAAAAGAAAGTAAGGTGGCTGTCACAGACTAGTATGTCCTTCATTACAGTTGACAAAGTCTCCTTTGCAACTGCCAGAAGAGACATAATGCTCTAAAATATTTTTCAAATCTTTGCAAAATTAACTGTTTTGTATATAATTATTTAAGATCTTTTTAGAATGACTTGATTTTTTTTACTTTTGCCAGTGCTCTGGTGGAAATAACATCATGGGTTCTGGACATAATTCAGAAGTGCTAAAATAAAAGTTGGCACTATCTCAAGAACAACCCAGGAACAAATCTGAGCACGAAGCAGGAAATAACTAGAGTGGGGGTGCCGTGGGGTTGAAGAAAGGTAACTCTTTACACGGTAGGACAGGTTGGGCCTTACATTTTGACAGGAAGTGAGGGATAGCAATACCTTTTTAAACAGATGCTTTGGATATTTTGCTCTTGAAAGCTATTAGCAAACTATAACATGTAATACATAAAGCAAAAGCCAAGATCTTCCAGTGCTACAATACATCCATATATGTTGCAAAACACTGTAAGATGCAGTAAAACTACATCCTCAGCACATGCTGGCATGTGCAGAGCTTATATACATTGGTTAGAGGTTATTCCACATTGCAATAGGGCTACACATTCCAAATAAAAAAAGCAAATGCCATTAGACAAGATGCATTTCTTATTTTCTACTGCAGCACTGTATATTAAATAATAATTCCAGGCTGAAGAAGACAGTTGGAGGACAAGTCAAAAGATTTTGTTTGCTCATTTTCCAAGCATTCAAAATACCTTATGGAACTGCAGAACAAAACACTTCAAGGTGCTTTTATGACGTTGGCTTTGCCACTAGTCTAGTGCGATGCATCTAAAGAGACCCCCGTGTATTCAACTGACTCAGAACATACCTACAACTGTGCAATGGTGTGCAGTGCAGAGATACTCAAAGCTAGGTCTGGAATCAGAAACAGCATAGCTCTATCAGCGTATTATGGTACCAAGCTCACTGGGCCTTTTCAAAATACTACATTGCAATCAGATCCATTACTGTAAGGTGATCTAATTTTATAGCTGGTTTCTAGATCATAAAAATAAACCATTTTATTACAAATACAGCATTATCATTGGATATTTGATTTCTAATATGTAGGCTCTTACCTCACTAGCAGCATATGTGTATAGCACCTTATTTTTTATAACAAACCATAGGTGTTTCCATGGTTTCTTACTGCCCTTAGATCTGTGTAGGTAGCCACTCATTGTAGAGTCTTCTGTATTTGCTGAAACCTAAAGTGAAAAAAACCCAACACTCAAGAGTTATGCATCTGTCCAAGTTTTTGCAGTACAGCTTTTTAAAAACAGATCTCCAGAAACCTGCCCTGTCAGAGACTGAAATTCTTCCTGATCTCATCAAGTTAATGTTGCTAATTAACTCAGATGGCTGAAAGAAAAATTATTTTGTCTGTCACCATCTATCTGGTCTGGAAGAGAGGTTTCTGCAGTCACTAGGGGTTGGAACTTAAATTGGATGCAACAGGACAAGAGGGCTGAAACACTGAGGACCAGGTACAGGTGCAGAACACACATTCCTATGTAAGAAGAAAAGATACTTCCTCCCATTCCCAGGACCTCCAGTGTAGGTAGGCAGAGAGTTTAGCTCTACCTTTCCTAATAATAAGCCAAGAGCTGAGTTGGTATAGGAGTCTTCTCACTGACTGCTGATGCAGAGGTAAATCACAATTCCTTGAAACACAGGGAAGCAAGAAAGAAATTACAATTTCTACTATCTCTTGGAGTCACAGTCTCACAGGGGGTTATGTAGTTTATATACTGCTTAATAGTTCAGGTCCCTGCCAAACCACTATTACAGGCAAATTTTGACTTTTGATTCTAGAGAAGATGGCTAAAATATGGAATTATTTTTTTCATTCTTAATATTGATGATACAATACCATCAAGGCATTACTTTTGACCAATAAAGCACTTACTTCTTTGAGGGCTGCAGGAATTTTTTTCTGCTTTCTTCCAGAGGGAATACTATGTAATACTGTAGACAAGGCACTTGATGGAGATTTATGGTTGACTGGGGATCCGCTCTTAGGAGTGCACTGGTTATCTAAAATACATAGGATGAATATATTGCTTTCATGTCACAGATGACTAAACACAGGCCTTCTTGAACTTGTTTTCTAAAAAGCATCTGATGTTTTTATTCTGATTACAGTACTTCAGATTAACACCCAGTCACATTAAATTCAGTGTTGAATTAACTTGTTAGTATTATTATCAACACCAAAGTTAGAATCTCCCAAATAACAATCAGGCTAAAAAAAACCACAAGAAACTTACAGCTAAATGGATTGGTCTAGTTTGTTTTCAGAGTCTGTTTTTTGATGTTGAACTACCTTTGCCCATACACAGGGTGAAAATTTAACTCTTAAAAACCACACCAAGTTTTCAGAGATGTCTGCTGCAGTCCAGTCACTGCTTTACCTCTGTTACCCAACTATTGGTCTTTCAATTCTCTACATCTTCTCAGCTTTTTTCACTATGGATGCTGTAGGGCTCCTCTTCAGCAGCATGCCATCACACACATACTTCTGGAGATTCCCATCTCCAGTGAATGTGTTGTCTTTCTCCACTGCTGCAGGCAGCTCCTTTATCTCCCTTGGAAGACTTCCGCAACACATCACTCCCTTAAACCCCCCCTTTCTAGCAACAACCATCCCTATTTTACAGCCCAGCCTGGAATGAGTAGCTTCATTAGGTCTGCTTCTAGAGTTGTCCCTGAACATGGTGAGGCTCTGAAACAATGAATGGAGCAGGAGAGTAATTGGATTGACAGCCACACTGCACCTGCTCTGAAGCTCTTTTCCCAGCTAAAAGCACCTACAATTGCTGCAGCACAGCAGCCTCTAGCGCCCAACGCAGAAACCGGCAGATGGTCCAGACAATCTACCTTCCCCATCATCGCAGGCTCCCACCACCACTTCAAGGGCTGTCGTTGCTGCTTTCCGCATCCCCATAAGAATGTCACCTCCAGCATGCTGGAAGCCATAGCTTGATTACTTCACTGGGGCATCACAGATTTCCTGATACTCTAGAGAGCTTGTGTTGAACTGGAGCCTCTGTCAGAGGGAAGGGCAGCAGTAGTTTCAGTCCCTGGTTACGGCTCATTTGCATATTTTATACTAGAGTCTTTGGACAGAATTCAGAGCAAGACTTGTGAGGTGGGACTGGATTCCCGCCTCACTGGGAGACTCCTCCATTGATTTGACACTTGTTTCTGCATAATGATATGAAGCTCCTTGAAAGAGACGGATTTGGGTTCTCTCAGGATGAGAAGGAAACTGACCCTGGACCTCCTCTCAAGCAAATGTTACTACCACCCTTGCTTTCCAGCAGGGTGGAATGTTATCTAACCCTTGCTTTCCAGTAGGCATCAGCAGTACCACATTCTCTGAAAGTGTTTCAATGAAAACATCCATCTGTGGTATTTTACATGAAAATACATGTTGCCACTGTGCAGTAGGCAACGGTTGGGAGTTTGCCCTCAGAACTGAGGTGTAGATATGCCAACTTTTTGAATTCCAGATGAGCGGGGGCTTGAGCCTAAAAAGACTCAGCTTCAGTAAGATGAAGGCCTATGTCTTTATATATAGAGCCCCAGAACTTCAGCTATCTCAGCAGCTTAGCTGGCAAAAATGAGCTTTACCAGCATAGAAGTTACAGAGACTAAAAGTACATATGAATCCACTGGGAGGTCATGATAAGCTGCAAGGATTTTAATGTACCGTGTGATTAATGAAAAGCAATGTAACACTAGTTATTCCCAAAAGAAAGTAGCATAAGCTACGTGTCATTACCCTAGGGCAAATGCACGCGAGTTTCTGGAAGGAAGAGAACGTATTGCGAATTCACTTCCTAGCTTACTGCATGGAAATGTGTTTGGGCTCTTATAACCTCAGATGCCTATCGCTTTTCAGGCAGTAGCAGAATTAGGCACTTGAACCCAGCAGTATAGATGAGGCACAGACATAACACGTTAGTAAGGGCCACAAAAATTAGACAGTTCGTGAGGATTTTCTTTACCTTGTTTCTGTAGCTCCCTGTAGCAATGATCACATACTCTTGCTGGCTGGTTTTTCATATAATCTAAACCATGTTTATTTGATGAACAAGCTTGACAGACAATCTGGAAACAGATAAAACCATTATTGTACGTGATGTACACCTGTAAATCACCAAATGCTCAGACGTTCACTTCAGCACTGTTCAGCTGATAACAGTATCTGAAATAGGCATCGTTTTACACTGAAAGTGGTTTAAGATCTTGGCTTTTCCCTATGTCCGTATGTTCAACATGCTGCTCTTTCCTCCTCTAAATGCTAAAAATTTAAATATAAAAAAATCACTGAATTACACAAGTCAGTAAGCCAACGTTAACAATCCATGAAAAGTAGAATAAGCCTACTGTCATACTGAACTGTTTAAATCATAAGCTTTTAAAGAAATTCCTAAAAATAGTCATTGCTCTCAACAGTATCTCCACAACACAGATGTCTGAACTGCATTGTATTCTGTATTGTCACTTGATTAAAACAAGACAAAGATTTAGTAGACACATCTTTCATAACTGTTAAATAAGTTTGGTACTAACTTAAAAACAAAATCATTATTTATCTTACAAAAATTAGCGGAGAAGATATTTTTCTAATTTTGGCTAACATTCTTCGTTTGTACTCCGTAATTGCAGAAGCAGAAGACAATCATAAATAGTACTCCAAAATGCAAAATAAGAAACATGTAACAAGTTAAAAGGTTGAACATTGATCTGTCATAACACCTTAGACTAAAAAAAAAACCCCAAACAAACCACAAACAAAAGCAACCCCAACATGTTGTTTTTAATCCATGTAATTGTGTCATAGTGCAGTGTTACCTTAAAAGAGGAGTTGTGATGCAATCAAGCTCCATCTGTATTTGCCAGACAAGGAACCTGAATGACTAACAGAAAAGGTAATGAAAAAATTGCCCAACCTTTCCGCATGCCCTGCAGTGATGCCTTCTCCATGTCAACGTGAATTCACTTGTACACATCATACACATAGTGGCTCTAGTATCAGGGATCCAGATCGGAGCCTTTGATCCCAGCGGACTATCTTCCTCTTGTTTCTCTGGGTCAGTCTGGGAGAACATAGTCAGAATACCATTACATTCAGGGATGAAAAATAAGATTAATATTAATCAGTGATTATAGGTTAACTCTAATTATGTTGGAAAGCCTTCTCTGATAAATTGTTATGGTCTTAAATGTTATCTCCTATTTCATCAGTGACCATTATAATGCAAGCTTGAAGACAAGAGCTGCTTTTCATTTGTGCAAAAAGCCTGTGTTAACTTGTAAGCTTTACCAGCCTATTTATATCAATAGCTGCTGTATTTTAAAATCTTTTCATTTCTGTTCACAAGATTACTGAGGGAATTGAGAAAGCTGGTTTGGGTTTTTTGGAAGAAAATAATTTTAAATTTAGGAAGTAGATAACATTATGAAATATCATTCTGTTCTATCATCTGTTCACTTATTTACCATCCTGTTTTATTATTTATCATGGAATGTTATTATTTATCCTGGAATGCTTCTTGTTTCTCTAAACACCTGCAAAGAAACTTCATATTCAAAAAGGAAATAAACCAACAATAATGGTGTGATATACCTCTTCAAGACTTTTGCTAGGATTAAATGTGATTCTCTTTTTTGTATATTCTTCAATTGACTTGGAGATAGCTTCTAACCACTCATCTCTTTCTGTAGCAGAACTGTTGGGAGTAAAAAAAAAAAATCAATTTATTATTGTTAACATTTAAAACTAAGAAGTAAGTGTTGATGAGAATTCCATTAGCTTTATTACACATTGACTTAACTCTCTTGCAATTTCAGTTTTATAGACTGTCTCCAGTTCTTACTGAAACTGGCATTATTTTTTTAACTGTCTGCATCATGTCAGTTATTTGTGTTGATTAATACTAAAACAGATTTCTGTGCTGTTGTTATTATGTGGATTCCCTCCTTCCCCTTCCTCCTTCCAAAACCTGTGATTGTTTCAAGGCTTGGATGTCACTGCTTCCCCCTTCTCCCTGGACCCTTGAATAGCTTTAGTAACACTGGTGTAAATGGTACTCCTAGAAGAAAGGCATGGAATGCTGAAGTTTTAGCAAACCTTTTTTGCCCCACTTCCTTCTGTCTCAGGGTACAGTTTGTTATACCCAACCCTGTGAAACCCCAAGCTTCTGTCAGAACAAACACACTGTCTCTTCCCCAGCCTTCTGCTCCCGAATGTTTGCTCCTACCAGGTCATGCTGCTTTGAAATAACTCTTTTTTCCCCAATTTTTCCAGTGGATGAGCTAACCCAAAGAGATAAACAGATGAGCTTACTGGATCTCTTTATCCCACAGCTGGTGGATCACTAATCAAGCACAAGGAAAGCATTAGGCTGAAGTGGCATGGCACAGGGAGCAGGGAGAACAAGGAGTGCCTGGCACAGCAGGAGCCTGCAACTGTACTGGATTACGTGCTGTGCCAAAGCACTTCCTCTGGCCGTGGGCACACCACCACATTCTTATCAGATAAAACCACGATGCTGCTGCTGCTGCAAAGGGCAGCCTACTACACTCCCTCTCAGCCATCACGTCTGATTTGCACCCTTGTGCCAGAACACACACAGCTAGGCAGTGGGCTGGACTGGGAAACAAATCCGTATTAAAGCAAGCCATTGACCTGACCTTCCTCTGGATCAATTTACCGAATTTATGTTCATCATGCAGCTGAACATACTTGTGCCAGCACCATAGAGGCTGCTCTGAGGAAGGAAAAAGCAGTTTTGTGGCAGATGAACAGCTAGACCTCTTGTTTAAGATGCCACACCAGCTTAGAAAGGGCTTCTAAAATTTAAACCAGTATCTACTACCAACAATTTTTTATTCCCCACTTCTTAAACAATATAAAATAAATTAATTTTTTTAAACCAAGGAAATTAACACAATGAATATATAAAAAGGAAAGTTAGGGAAGAGGAAAGCAATGATTTACACAAATTAGGTGTGCAATTATTGTTTAATGGCTTTTTTAGGTGAATTTGAAAGCTTTGATCATCTTCAAACCTTTAAGGAAAATACTTTGAGCTGAGGTTTTGAACTGGATGAAATTGAGTACTATACAAAATCAGAGAGGATAAATCTGGTAAGGTAAACACAGGGGAAGCCTGTGAGGCACGAGAGAAAAAAAATGATCTAGCACACACAGAAACAAAATCAGAACAAAAAGACAGGAAATACAAGATACAAGCAAGGGAAAAACAATGTATTATTGTCTTCCCAACATATCACACTCTTGAGTGGAACATTTTATTCAGTGTATTTACCTTTGCTTCTGCATCCAGAAAGAACAACTGGTCTGCATTAGCTACCTAACATTCATACCTCTAATCAACTTTGCCTTTTTCAAAATCTGGTTACATTTAATTAGGTTCCTAAAGCTATATTAAATAAATAAATTCAGAGTTGTCCCAGCTGTTGGATATTAAGCATCCTCCATCATGTGGGGATTGCTACATATGGGGCTGCTCACAGAATGAGCTACATGGCTTACATCCTAATATTTCACTAGGGAGCTTGCACTAAATAGATTTCCTAGCGTTAGCCTTTAGGGTTGTTTACAATCCTTCTGAATTTAAGAGCAAAGGCAGTGCCATCAGCAACTGAGTTGATGTAATGATTTTCTGCAGCAAAATAGGCAGTGTTTCTTCTGCTGTCGCTCCCAGCCCTCCCCCACAGCTGCACAGCCCTACCACTTCCCTCACTGCAGGTCCAGTGTTTGTTGCACCCTTCCAAAAGTCATTTTGTTTACTGAAATGGCAGGGTTTTAAAAAAAAAATCTATTTATTTATTTAGGATTTAAAAAAACAGTAGAAAACTTTAAAGGGACTGCAGAGAGCCCCTGCAATTGTTATTACTGGCAAATGTGTGTGCTAAAACCACACGCTGCAGCTGCCCGATGGAGTAAGCAGCTCGGTGGTCCCAGGAGGGCTCACAGAAGTACTGGTGTTCAGGATCAGAGCCTTAGGGCATCCCTCCCAGCTGAGCTAGTCGTGCATGAGCTATCCTTATGTTAGAGGAGGCGATGCAGCTATGTCTGCCTGGGGTAGCTCTTTGCAAGCCTTACTGAGGGGTGCGGATGAGCTAACTTGTTTCTGCGATAAAGAGATTTCTAGTACAATACTGCATTGTACCATGTAAAACAATACACATTCCTACAGATATCCCAGGAAAACTGAAACCTCGACCTAGACCAGATAAAGCAGAATACTAATGCAGTCAGTAAAACTAAACCTGAAGTGACAAAGACTCTTGTCTCAGCACTAATCTCGGCACTTCTGTTATTAAATGGCTTACATTTTATTACTAGCAATTTTTCACTGGCTTAATTGCTCCCCTCCTTGTCTCTGCCCCCAGGATCATTTCAGAATCTCTTCTTTTGTGTACACCCCACATAATGCTTATTATTTGAAAAAACACAGAACTGAAATTTGTCTCCAATGTCTCTAAAATTAATCTGAACAGTTTTGTAAGTTGAGACTTTTACCACATAGGAGCCAAGAAGCTGTTAGAATAAGGTGTCATCAAAAGGAAGATGCAGTTTGTATTGACAAGACACTGTTTCTCTTCACATCCATGATATTTATCAAGACAAACAATATAATTATTTGGGAAAAAATATATGCAAGCACCTATCGTGGGTATTTTTTCACTTGTTTTCCTCCTGCACCCCACCAGACCCAGACCTCGCTTACACACAGAGAACAATCTGAAAATCCTCCTTTACACCTGAGGCCCCCAGTACCTCCTTTGTCCCAAGCAAATGCAACCTCTCTCTGTCACTGTTGTGCTACTTAGTGCTCTTGCACACACTTAGCTTCCAGCAAGTATAAAAACAACAGAGCTGAACTCTCTCCAAAGATGCAAGATCAACAACACTAAAAAAGAAAGCGCAAATCAGAGCTGCCTTAGTTGGTAATGTGAGGGTAAGTCCAGTAATTTAAAGGTCAAGACAAAAGCATGTCACAAACTCTGCCTAATTTGATGAGAACGTTATATGCAGGGGTTTCCCCCTATGGAGCAGCATGTATTTTACAGGAGTTGCTTTTAATCTACCCACTTAATCAGTTCCTCAGAAAGACAGATCAATCCTGTTTTGTGGAAAATAGGTAGGTTGCATTTCAAAATGATAATCTTTTCACAAGTTCCAATGATTTTTTACAATTTTTTAAAAAGACTGAATTAAAAGTGAAATGCTGTTTCAAGTCAAGCACTGATAAATCCACATTGTGTATTGCAATCCCATAAATGTCTTCATGTATGTGTATGATACCCAGTCACCAAGGCACCTAAGCAGCACAGATCTGCTCATATTATACTGGAGCAGAATCATACCCTAAACTGGAAATGCATCTTTTTTCCCCTCAATGTGCAAAAGAACCACAAGAAGCATTTACATTTGTTGAAAAAATAATTAAAAAAATACTCCTTTCAAGCCTGTTATAAATAACTACTGCTCAAACAATTGAGCTACTTCCTTTGGCTACTTTGACAAAGTTAACCTTAGTCTACCCCTCAGCTAGAGATACTGCTATTTTTGTGCAGACATCCTCATGTCAGTATTTACAAGGTCACAAAAAAAGAAACAATCTGCCCTTGCTCAGCTTTGCTAAACAAAAGAGAAAACATGTCTTTCTTCATTGGTATCAGCACTGTCACATGTCAGAATATATAAAACTCCAACTCAAACACAGTAAAAACAATCCACAGAACTAGGTCTTTGCTGAAGGCATCTTGGTGAAGGCAGAGTTGCTCCGGTTTAGTGGCCATGTTATCCTTTTGCTGCTACATGGATAATTTGGTTTTCTGGTAAAGACAAGCGCCATTCCAGTAATTCCTGTCACTTCCATAATTTCAGGTTCACCAAGATCCATTTCTTGTTTCAATTACACTGTTATTTTAGCTAGAAGACCAGGATGACTTCTTCCAATGTACATAACCAATAATAATACCTAAATGGATATCCTCTCCTGTTAATATACTGACAGAGCATATCAGTAATTCTGGAATAACAACAAAATATTGAAAAGCAAAGCCTAAAATTTATTGAAGTGAAACAATTTTAATTCTTCTTCCTCTCAAGGAAAGGCAGTGAGAGGATAATATTTCAATTTACTTAAAGTTTCTGAAGGTGTAGCTAAGCTGAAAAGGAGGAACCAAGCAAGAGTTTTGTTCAGTCTGATTAACAGTTAACTGTCTTGAGGACAGCAGGATCCCTACCAGCTGCAGCCTTAAGCCTAAATTGCTTATATACCAGCCACATTTATTATAGCTTTTGTGCTTCTATCCATCACCTTATAATGGCTAGTCTTCTTTGCAAGTCAGGGTGAACTGTATTAGAGACTACAAATTCATACGGCATCTGCGAAACTTACTACATGTGACTAAGCTTCCTTGCTGTTTGCCCCATTTAAAAATAAACTTAAATTTTCAAATTCAGATTTTGAATGTGAACAAAAGTAAATTAGAACAAAGTCTAACCTATTTCCAGAAACCCGTCTTTAATTTCCTCTATTCTATAATTACTCTAGGAAATGTTAACTTTTCATTATGTAAGTGCAAAATCAGCTATAAAAAGCTTACGTGGCCTGTTGGAAATCACATTATTTTTAAATCATCATTCATTTGTAAGACTTACCTTGCTGAAAGAATGAAGGACCTCTCTACACTTTCAATGTTCAGCTCATTCTGATATGCTTCCTGGGTTGGCTTTTTAACCTTCAGTTGAGAGAGAAAACTTGACATTCAAACGGAAACAGTACTTATATAGCTGCTTTAGTTTTACTTACTGTAAACTCTTCTACGTTTTTATTGCAGAAGCAGTACATTGGAGAGAAAAATCTCAAAAGCAGAAGATCATACACCAGTCCAGAGGGCCCAGCTAAACTAGGATTACATGCAGCCCACCATTTTATTTCACTGTGGCCCCATACAAACACTGGAGACATATAGGGGAATGAAGCTCAGGAGTGTCAGACAACTCTCGCTGTGCTTCAACATGCTGAGGCCCCTAGATGTTGAGCATCTCCTAAAACTGGGCAAAAAAGGGCTCTGCTGCTGCTTGCAGGACAAGATGTAGCCTACTGCTGTACCCCAGAGTAGCCCACAGCCCCAAGGTCTGGATCACCCTGCTGATCCTTCTGAGCTACCAAGTTTCAAACATAAGGAGGTTTAAAAATTAAGAGTGGTTTTGAACCACCACGAGACATCTGCTGTGACAGCTTGGGCCTGTGCACCAGATCTGCACTGCAGCTGGGCTTGGTGCTTTTCTCTGACAGGACCAGAGACAAGTTACTTGATTCCCGAGGCGATGGTTTGTTGTTCTCACTAACTACCATGTCAGATATTGTGTCAATATATGGTGTCCACATCCCTTATCACTACCCAGAGGGGCTCGGGCTGAACTTTGACAGTTTTCACAAAGGCTCAGAAGCAAAAGCCGTATCTTCCCTCACAGTTACCACATCTCTATAAACCATGCAGATTTGAGCCACCAGAAGTTTACCAGGCACACATCTCTGGTATGGGTAATAAAAAGCAGTTACAAAGCAAAAGTGAGGCAGTCTAAACAAAATACAATACAAAAGGAAAGCAGGAGGGTATTTCAGAGTAGGCCAATACTGGATGAAATGCAAGTGAGTTGATCCTGTGGCAAAAGAGATTTTTAGGGAAACCTAGACAGCAATCCCACAGAGCACATTATGCAAGAAACATTAAGCATGTAGGATTCCTCTGTAACATAAGCATCTTTAATATCTCTATTTAATATACTTGGGTTTTGAAAATTTGAAGGCCTGAGTTTAAATAGACTTGGAGAAAGACTCATTTTAATAAGTAACTCACCTTCATTCCAGCCAATGACAGCATGTTGTTGAGTTTATACATCCCTGACTGAACTGGAGTCGTATACAACAGGGCATCATTGAACTGTAAGATAGAAGCAATGCTTCTTAATGACTAAAGACTGTTTAAAGACAGATAATTTCAAATGCATTTTACTGGAAGTACAGAACTCATACAGCACTGAGATCAACTGTCCAGAAGTGCATCTTCTACTTCCTATTATTCCACTTAGAACTCAAGGAACATTTTCATGTATGAATTAGATAACAATAGCTGTCTATTTATATCCCCCTTGTGGTAAATATACATTTGGCACATGAGTAAGCAGTGTATGGATGTCAAAGAACTGGCTGTGAAAAAGGACAAAAACATTGCTCGTGTACACAGCTATACTGTATAACAAACTACTTTAAAAGATATTAGAATTAACCATTCAAACAAAGCAAAACATTCCAGAAACTCAGAGGTAGCAGAATTAAAATTAGCAATTTGTGACTGTAAAGACAAACTTATCCATGTGTACCATGTGAATTTTACCAGTTTAAATGTGCATCTACTGTTTATTTCCTGTTCTACTAGACTGGCTTCATTCAGTGCACTTACTGAACAGCTATTAAGATGTTTTAAAATTTTCTGTGTTGTTCAACACATGGACCCAAATTTCATTTACTGCACATAAACACAGATCAGAAAACTGAACTGTCTCTAAGTTTTTGCTATAAGGTACTTTGCAAAATAACCAAATATTTCATGAGCCTTACTAAATCTTCACAACATGTTCAATAGAAAAAAAATCACTGCTCAAGTGTCTAAAGGTATAAACACTAGCCTGCACATTTTTAAATCTAAAAAAAAACCCAAGCCAAAAGCCACCTCAAAAAACAAAACAAAGAGAATCCAAGTTAAGAGACACTCAAATTAGCAACATGTGATTTGGGAAGTCCAGCTTGAGAAAGCATCAGATTTTTTAGAGTATTAGCTTAAACTGATATTATTTGCAGTTATCTCAGTGCTTTATATGCTACAAAGTCATCTCTTGAGCATAAGACAGGCACTTGCAAGCTTAGAATACATATTCCATGACTGTCTAGGGAAATATTTATTCATACTACATTAACTAAAAGACAGATTTCAGTCAGGACTGTGGACCAATAGTGCCACAAACTACACACAGCAACACTTGCTTTACTATCTAAACAGAAGAGAGAGAAAAAAAAGGATTCAAGTGGAAACAGAAACTTCAGAGATGAACAGAAGTTTCAAAACAAAACAGTAGCAGAGACAGGAAGAGAATCCAGCACTTAACTTCCAGCTATGCTCAGGGTGCAAGTGGGCTTGTGCAGGGGAAAGAGAGGAGGAGGGAAGGAGGGAGGGAAGGAAGGGTGCAATAGCAGCAGCGGAGTTGTAGGTTTTAAGATCTGGTATGGCTAAATGGGATGGAGTAACTTGTAGTTCTCAAACTACCACAGATATGGTCTTCTCATAAAAGCACTCAAATTTTAAATGAGCATTGTTCAAAACCGCACATTTTAGTGAGAAATTATTTTCTATTAAAATTAGTGCATACGCAATCAATGATCTCTCTAAATTAGAACTGAGAAAGTAGAACAGCAACAAATGGTCATTATTTCCACTACCTGAATTAGTTACTTACGTTTGTGGTGTAATGTTTCAACCACTTAAAATTACACTAGCACACAGCAACATACACAGCATCTTACCAGAAAAAACATTCGTGGCTGCATGACCTTCCGGGACAGCTTCATCAGCGTGCCCTCTTTCAGAAAGACCTAGCAAATTAAAACAAGCAATTCAAGCTGTACAAATGAGCTGACTTTTTCATAATTATTATTACACTTGAAGTGCTGCACAAGTTTTGGGATTCAAGGTTCCCTTTCTGAGAAAGGCTGTTCATCCTTACGTTTCTCTAAAGTGAGTGTGAATGGCTGTATTACAGTTTTCTACACTGCACCTGAAACCATGACAAATACAAGGTTAAGCTTGAGGGGAAAAACAACTGCCTGCAAGATCTGGCAAGGGATCATATTCTAAAAATGGTTGAATCATATTCTAAAAATGGTTAAGTTTACATCAGATAAATGTATATTAAGAAAAAAATACACATATGGAGAGGCAATATTAATTTGACTGTTAGAAATGAATAATGAGGCGATGGACCATTTTCCTTCTCGGTAAATGTCAACTTCAGTACTTCACTTGCGTATCACCTGTGCTGCGCTTTTACTGCAATCTGCTGAATGCCATCTGGAGGACCTACCCTTCCTGGCTGTACAATCTCATGATGTCCATTTAAACTGTACTGAATCTGCATGAGTTTTTGAAAGTTATCCTGCAAGGAAAAAAAGCAAAAAGTAAGTAATTGCCCGTTCACCCATGACCTTTTTTTTTTTTTTTAAAAAAAAAAAAAAAAGATTAAAAGCTTTAATCAATCAGCTTTTTAAATCAAAATACTTACTCCCTGCTTCATGATGTCATTGGCATGGTTTGCAACTTCTATGACAACAGCTAGTGCATCTGATGGATGAAGAAATGATGCTTTTGTTATACAGACTAGTTAGCATTGGTATTATGTAAAGCACAGGTACAATATTGCCCTTCCACATCATGCCAAGATTCAAGGACCTGATCGTACAGTCATTGCTCACACAGGGGCACTTCCCGTACAACCCAGAGTCTCTGGATCATGGTTGGTAAGTGTGCCCTAGCAAGTCACTGCTTCAACCAAGAGTGTAAATGTCAACTTCAGTACTTCACTTGCGTATCACCTGTGCTGCGCTTTTACTGCAATCTGCTGAATGCCATCTGGAGGACCTACCCTTCCTGGCTGTACAATCTCATGATGTCCATTTAAACTGTACTGAATCTGCATGAGTTTTTGAAAGTTACCAAGAGTGTCAATCATTTCTTACAGCTAATCAAAACAGTCCACAAGCAACTAAATTCTAGTTTCTCACACAAAGAATTACTTTAATTTCAATGTCTCTACTTACAGCAGAAAGGTTAACAACATTTTAACTGAGACTATGTACAGATTAAGTTTTTACCATGGAAGTAATGGAAGACTACATAGGAAAATTATCCAAATCTCTGCAATTTTTCTTCTGCCTTTAGTTTTGCTGCATCTCAAAATAACAGTATAAAGTTCAAACTTCTAAATTTCAAATTTTTAATACTGGAAGAAATGAAAAAAAAACCTGTGAAAGAGTTACCAAAAATGAGGAATTTTATTAAGTACTTATATTTAATAACTAGCAACCCAAAAAAGGGTTACATGAAAGGATTATGTAAATTACTGAGTGTATATGAGACAGAACCCATCCATAGCTCTTATCCAAAACCCTGTAATTTACTTAAGTAGAAAAAAAAAACCTCACTTAATTGAAAGCAAGTAGAATAACTCCCTTGATAAAATGTAGTCTCTAAAGCATTTAGCACCTTCTGAGGAACTGAAATGCAGTTAGGCACTCCAAATAAAGGAACTACATTTGCTTAAAAGTCTACAGAGAAGCCTGCCAAACCAGGTAAAATCAAAGCCTTGGGTTTTTTTCCCCTAGTATTAGCACTGTAGAATGTATATACGTCCCTTATTGTTGAATTCATATTCAGAAAGAAAGCATGGTAAAAGATAAAGCTTTCTGAACTGAAAGGTTCAGAAGGTCACAAAGCCATATAGGAAATTTAACTGAGGTGCAAACAAAAAGCTCCTCCTAAGTCAATCTAAGGAGAATTTTGGTTCAAAATTTTAATGACCAAGGCAATGCAAGTACAGGAGTCAAACAATTAAAAGACATAGCACCTATCAAGCATTTGATCAAAATTTAAGTTTAGATATAGATGTCATGATGCCAACTGAGCCTGCTGAAAAATAGCTGGTTGTCTCCTACTAGGAAATGCTGGAGCTGCTCCAGCGAAGACACTCCCCAGCTCCTATCCACATGGAAGAAAATTAAGAGAAATTTAGCTAAATTCTTGAAGACAGGAATTAGTACCTGAATTTTTTGTTATACTTT